GGTAGAAAAGCGTAGGATTCAAATAGTACCAAAAAATGCAGACGTGTGTGGTGGCGACCATTAATAATTGGAAGCTGCTTACATATGAATTCATTTTTTGTACGACCAAATGATAAATCCAAACTTACACTGAGAATACAAGACTGTGATTAACGAATTCGATATCACCTCCCGCGATAATCATTTTGCGAATTATTGGACAGCATAGGCTTAGGTAGGAAAGCGTAGAATTAAATTAGTACCAAAAAATGCAGACGCGTGTGGTGGCGACCATTAATAATTGGAAGCTGCTTACATATGAATTCATTTTTTGTACGACCAAATGATAAATCCAAACTTACACTGAGAATACAAGACTGTGATTAACGAATTCGATATCACCTCCCGCGATAATCATTTTGCGAATTATTGGACAGCATAGGCTTAGATAGGAAAGCGTAGGATTAAATTAGTACCAAAATATGCAGACGTGTGTGGTGGCGACCATTAATAATTGGAAGCTGCTTACATATGAATTCATTTTTTGTACGACCAAATGATAAATCCAAACTTACATTGAGAATACAAGACTGTGATTAACGAATTCGATATCACCTCCCGCGATAATCATTTTGCGAATTATTGGACAGCATAGGCTTAGGTAGGAAAGCGTAGGATTAAATTAGTACCAAAAAATGCAGACGTGTGTGGTGGCGACCATTAATAATTGGAAGCTGCTTACATATGAATTCATTTTTTGTACGACCAAATGATAAATCCAAACTTACACTGAGAATACAAGACTGTGATTAACGAATTCGATATCACCTCCCGCGATAATCATTTTGCGAATTATTGGACAGCATAGGCTTAGGTAGGAAAGCGTAGGATTAAATTAGTACCAAAAAATGCAGACGTGTGTGGTGGCGACCATTAATAATTGGAAGCTGCTTACATATGAATTCATTTTTTGTACGACCAAATAATAAATCCAAACTTACACTGAGAATACAAGACTGTGATTAACGAATTCGATATCACCTCCCGCGATATTCATTTTGCGATTTATTGGACAGCATAGGCTTAGGTAGAAAAGCGTAGGATTCAAATAGTACCAAAAAATGCAGACGTGTGTGGTGGCGACCATTAATAATTGGAAGCTGCTTACATATGAATTCATTTTTTGTACGACCAAATGATAAATCCAAACTTACACTGAGAATACAAGACTGTGATTAACGAATTCGATATCACCTCCCGCGATAATCATTTTGCGAATTATTGGACAGCATAGGCTTAGGTAGGAAAGCGTAGAATTAAATTAGTACCAAAAAATGCAGACGCGTGTGGTGGCGACCATTAATAATTGGAAGCTGCTTACATATGAATTCATTTTTTGTACGACCAAATGATAAATGCAAACTTACACTGAGAATACAAGACTGTGATTAACGAATTCGATATCACCTCCCGCGATAATCATTTTGCGAATTATTGGACAGCATAGGCTTAGATAGGAAAGCGTAGGATTAAATTAGTACCAAAATATGCAGACGTGTGTGGTGGCGACCATTAATAATTGGAAGCTGCTTACATATGAATTCATTTTTTGTACGACCAAATGATAAATCCAAACTTACATTGAGAATACAAGACTGTGATTAACGAATTCGATATCACCTCCCGCGATAATCATTTTGCGAATTATTGGACAGCATAGGCTTAGGTAGGAAAGCGTAGGATTCAATAAGTACCAAAAAATGCAGACGTGTGTGGTGGCGAACATTAATAATTGGAAGCTGCTTACATATGAATTAATTTTTTGTACAAAAAACGATACATCCTTAAACCGAGAATGCAAGAGTGTGATTATCGATTCCAATGTCACCTCCCGCGATAATCATTTTGCGAATTATTGGACAGCATAGGCTTAGGTAGGAAAGCGTAGGATTAAATTAGTACCAAAAAATGCAGACGTGTGTGGTGGCGACCATTAATAGTTGGAAGCTGCTTACATATGAATTCATTTTTTGTACGACCAAATGATAAATCCAAACTTACACTGAGAATACAAGACTGTGATTAACGAATTCGATATCACCTCCCGCGATAATTTTGCGAATTATTGGACAGCATAGGCTTAGGTAGGAAAGCGTAGGATTAAATTAGTACCAAAAAATGCAGACGTGTGTGGTGGCGACCATTAATAATTGGAAGCTGCTTACATATGAATTCATTTTTTGTACGACCAAATAATAAATCCAAACTTACACTGAGAATACAAGACTGTGATTAACGAATTCGATATCACCTCCCGCGATAATCGTTTTGCGAATTATTGGACAGCATAGGCTTAGGTAGGAAAGCGTAGGATTCAATTAATACCAAAAAATGCAGACGTGTGTGGTGGCGAACATTAATAATTGGAAGCTGCTAACATATGAATTCATTTTTTATACGAGCAAATGATAAATGCAAATTTACACTGACAATACAAGACTGTGATCGAATTCGATATCACCTCCCGCGATATTCATTTTGCGATTTATTGGACAGCATAGGCTTAGGTAGGAAAGCGTAGGATTCAAATAGTACCAAAAAATGCAGACGTGTGTGGTGGCGACCATTAATAATTGGAAGCTGCTTACATATGAATTCATTTTTTGTACGACCAAATGATAAATTCAAACTTACATTGAGAATACAAGACTGTGATTAACGAATTCGATATCACCTCCCGCGATAATCATTTTGCGAATTATTGGACAGCATAGGCTTAGGTAGGAAAGCGTAGGATTCAATAAGTACCAAAAAATGCAGACGTGTGTGGTGGCGAACATTAATAATTGGAAGCTGCTTACATATGAATTCATTTTTTATACAAAATACGATACATCCTTAAACCGAGAATGCAAGAGTGTGATTATCGATTCCAATGTCACCTCCCGCGACATTCTCTTTGCGAATTATTGGACAGCATAGGCTGAGGTAGGAAAGCGTAGGAATAAATGAGTACCAAGAAATGCAAACGTGTGTGGTAGCGACCATTAAAATTGGAAACTGCTTACATATGAAATCATTTTTTCATTTCAGGAAAATTTGACATAAAACAATTTTCTTCAAACATAAATAACAGATAGATTTCATAAAATATAAAAATGGCCTCCCATAAAGTACCCCCCAGATGGTCCGACTTTGTCCAAAATCTAATTATTTCACGCAAGCATGCACGCACCCACGCACACATACGCACGGACGAACGCACGCACGCTCGAACGCACGCATGCACGCTCGCACGCACGTACGCACGCACGAACGCACGCACACACAGGCACGCACGGACGAACGCACGCACGTACGCATGAATGAACGCACGCACGCACGGACATACGCACGCACGGACATACGCACGCACGGACGCACGCACGGACGGACGCACGCACAAACGCACGTACGCATACACACACACACACACACACACACACACACGACATACATCATTGCGAAAATAGTCAAAATGGATTCAGTGGACTCCAAAACGTAAAAAACCGTCGAAAACTCGAGGTCGAAAAAAATCATGATTCCTTTACTTTCCTTATCCTGTATACAAAATTACGTACCTAACCCCCGTAAAAAATGAATTGAATGTCGCCTGAAATGAGAACATAATTTTTAAAAAATTCGCTTCTCGGCCAACTGACACAGATCACAGAAAATACATTGTTGCTTCTCAGCTTAATATCACTACTTCTACAAAACAAACCTAAGTTGCCTTAGTACCTATTGATTGTTGCAGTAAATACAACATAAAATTTAGGAATATTTGTTTATTGATTTAAAATACATATTTTTCTGCAATATGCTCACAAATATTGGTAAATATATCTTTAGTAACTGCGCTATATATTTCGTACCACATAAGTAGTAGTCTTTAATAATCAATAAACACTTAAAACCTATGTAAAACCTAAAAACACAAATAAAATTGCGATAATTAAAATCAAATTCTTGACAAACGCACAAAAGAGCATCCGCGAAGCGAAATTAATAAGCTTCTATAAAGTACAAGGTAGTTTTCAACATCCGCAATAAAAAATAGTTCCAACTTGGAAATATCTTTGAATTTTGACTATAATCCGCAATTTTTTTCCAAATATCAAGAAATACCTATCTGCAGTTTTAGTTAAAACGTGTCAAATCTGTAATTTTGTGACACTAAAGTGATATGTCACCGTCACTTTCAATAGTTTTCGAATTTTTTTTTTGTAATCTTTAATCTTTTTAGGGCCTGCTCCATTTTTTCACCAAATGTACTTCGTTGTTGTATTCCAATGTCTTCTGGTGGAATTGTTCTATATATTTTATTGATAGTTGGTAGTCTCCCAAAATTTTTTCAACGAAATTTAAATTTTTGGTAGATAGTCGGATCTTTGTATCAGGATAATAGTAGAGCGAGGATGTATGGAAATTAATTTTACGTTACCTTAAATCGTACAATAACTTAAAGAGCTTATTTACCAGTCATTTTTAAAATCTCCCCTCGTTCTCCTGTTATCCTGATGCCAAAAATGTTATTAACGAATTGTAACTTTTAATACTCGATTCTTTGTATCAGGAATAACAGTAGAGCGAGGATATATGGAAATTCATTTTACGTTTCCCTAAATTATACAGTAACTTGATTAAAGAACTCGATTCCCCGCCATGTTTAAAATATCTGCTTTTTCTTCTGTTATCAGATACCAAAAATGTTATCAACGAATTGCAACTTTTGATACTCGGATCTTTCAATGCGGAACAGAAGGGCGAGCAGGTATGGAAATTGATTTAACGTTACCTTAAATTGTACAGTAACTTGATGAAAGCACTTAATGTTCCCGCCATTTTTAAAAAATCTTCTTACTCTTCTGTTATCCCGAAACCAAAATTTTATCAACAAAATTGAAACTGATACGTAGTTATTTTTCATTTTTAGTTTTAGTGAAATTCTGCCCCTTTAGGTAGGAAAATAAAATACGAGATATTTGAAAAATATATATTTTATATCTACTCACAATTTAAATAGTGATTTAAATCGATAGAATTGTACAATTTTTTTATATTTGTAAATACAAATTTATGGTAAAAATAATAAAAGCTTCAATAGATTAAACCTAGGTATTTCATTTTTAGAAAAATTTCAGTCAAGAAATTCGAAAAATTACATTTTTTATATCATTTAAAGAGGAACAAAAAACAAGTAGTGTCTAACCTAAAATGCCTCGGTTTTTTAGAAACGTGTGAAAATAAAAAAATACTGATTTTATATACCTAACGTAACACAAGCAAGTAAACAGCAATAAAATACATATTTATATTTCTGGCAAGTTTGGCCTGAGTAAAGAGTATCAAAAAAGTGTAAATCGTATAAAACAACTTAAGGGCACTTAGTGTTCTAAAAGTAAGTGTGGTTTCTGATACAATTTCGGATTTTAGTGATTTGAAATGAACTACTTAACATTTTACAAAAATATTTTTGTTACTTACTAGCCATTTAAAATAAAGTCACAAACACACTTTTTTAGTATCTATCAATCATTACTTAATTTAATGATTATTAAGGCCTCATTTATTTAGGTACTTTCAAGTAAAATCTACTTAGGTTTCATTTTGTAAGCTCTTCAATATTACTTACAATTTAACATGGTAAACTAAACAAAAAAATGATGAAAATAGTTTGTAGGTGTTTTAAGTGGTACCACAATAATATTAAGTGGTAAGTGGTACCACAAAAATATAATTACCTTTAATACTGAATTCCCACCAAAATTAATCTCATATAGCTTTATTTTTGGTCAATAAATAACTATTGGAGTAGGTGGACAACACTAAATAATCCTATGTATAATAAGCTTTAAAAATTTTAATATAAAATGTATTTCATTTTACAAATATTCATAATAATTGTACTAAGTACTGTTCATATTGGTGGACGAGCTTCATAATGGAGTTTAGGGCTCAAAGTCCACGAATAGTTATTCATATAGTCACAACAACTCGGTTCCAAAACACAGCTCAAACACACAAACGCCAACAGAACCAACTGAAATGCCACAGAAGCTTTAAAAAATCGTCTAAACCAAGATTTGGCTTTAGCGTTACTTCCTGGATCGCTATCAGGGTCTCCTGGGTTTGTTTTTGTAGATATCTTGGATTCTTCTTGTTCTGGTACTGGCCTAAAAATGAAAAGAGTTAAACTTGATTTTTTAATTATTTTTATCTTTTACCTCAATCGGTCAGTGAAATTTCCGGAGCAAGCTGATGTTCGAGCCACAAGAGATCTGCATCGTAGTTGTAGGGCTTTAAGATCTTCTTCAGCTACTCTTAACTTTTCTCTCATCAATAGTCTCGCTTTAGAATCTGGAGGTAATCCGATTTCTAACTGCCGGACTAATCGCCGAATAGCTGCCAGTCTCCTCTGCCTTTCGCCTATTTCCTGTTCGGATCCTTCGTCAGAAATTCCGCTGTCAGAAAATGACCCTTCTGTTATAATTTCTTGCATCTGCTGTGTACTCTGTAACCCAAATTATATCATGAATTTTTTTTTTCAGATATTAAGAATTATTATTTTTTATTATAGAACATCAAGTTTGCATGGAGAACGCAGTAATTGGTGTCACTGGTATCCCCTGTGCGAAGTATCGGACAGCTAGGAAAGCGAAGGATTAAATTCATACCAAAAAATGCAGACATATGTGGTGGCGATCATTAGTAATTGGAAGCTGGATATCCGGATACGTAAGATAAGTATTTATTTTTTATTATCAAGTATTGGACAGAACAGGCTTAGGTAGGAAAAATTCGTACCAAAAAATGCGGACAGGTGTGGTGGCGACCATTAGTAAATTGGAAGCTGCTTACACTTGAATTCATTTTTTGTGCGAATAAAAGAGCCAAACTTGCACCGAGAATGCAAGAGTGTGATTATCGAATCCGGTATCACCTCCCGCGACATTCTCTGTGTGAAGTATTAGACAGAATAGGCTTAGGTAGGAAAAATTCGTATCAAAAATGCGGACAGGTGTGGTGGCGACCATTAGTAATTGGAAACTGCTTACACTTGAATTCATTTTTGTGTGAATAAAAAAGCCAAACTTGCACCGAGAATGCAAGAGTGTGATATTTGAATCTCGGTATCACCTCCCGCGACATTCTCTGTGCGAAGTATTGGATAGAATAGGCTTAGGTAGGAACGATTCGTATCAAAAAATGCGGACATGTGTGGTGGCGACCATTAGTAATTGGAAGCTGCTTACACTTGAATTCATTTTTTGTGCGAAAAAAGCCAAACTTGCACCGAGAATGCAAGAGTGTGATTATCGAATCCGGTGTCACCTCCCACGACATTCTCTGTGTGAAGTATTAGACAGAATAGGCTTAGATAGGAACGATTCGTATCAAAAAATGCGGACATGTGTGGTGGCGACCATTAGTAATTGGAAGCTGCTTACACTTGAATTCATTTTTTGTGCGAATAAAAGAGCCAAACTTGCACCGAGAATGCAAGAGTGTGATATTGAATCTCGGTGTCACCTCCCGCGACATTCTCTGTGCGAAGTGTTGGACAGAATAGGCTTAGATAGGGAAAAATTTGGTATCACTTCTGTGAGAAGTAAAATTAGGGAAGAAAGCGTAGGAATAAATTCGTACCAAAAAATGCGGACATGTGTGGCGGTGACCATTCGTAATTGGAAACTGATTACACTTGAATTCATTTTTTGTGCGAAAAAAAAGCCAAACTTGCACCGAGAATGCAAGAGTGTGATTATCGAATCCGGTATCACCTCCCGCGACATTCTCTGTGTGAAGTATTAGACAGAATAGGCTTAGGTAGGAAAAATTCGTATCAAAAATGCGGACAGGTGTGGTGGCGACCATTAGTAATTGGAAACTGCTTACACTTGAATTCATTTTTGTGTGAATAAAAAAGCCAAACTTGCACCGAGAATGCAAGAGTGTGATTATCGAATCCGGTGTCACCTCCCACGACATTCTCTGTGTGAAGTATTAGACAGAATAGGCTTAGATAGGAACGATTCGTATCAAAAAATGCGGACATGTGTGGTGGCGACCATTAGTAATTGGAAGCTGCTTACACTTGAATTCATTTTTTGTGCGACAAAAGCCAAACTTGCACCGAGAATGCAAGAGTGTGATTATCGAATCCGGTGTCACCTCCCACGACATTCTCTGTGTGAAGTATTAGATAGAATAGGCTTAGATAGGAACGATTCGTATCAAAAAATGCGGACATGTGTGGTGGCGACCATTAGTAATTGGAAGCTGCTTACACTTGAATTCATTTTTTGTGCGAATAAAAGAGCCAAACTTGCACCGAGAATGCAAGAGTGTGATATTGAATCTCGGTGTCACCTCCCGCGACATTCTCTGTGCGAAGTGTTGGACAGAATAGGCTTAGATAGGAAAAATTCGTACCAAAAAATGCGGACAGGTGTGGTGGCGACCATTAGTAATTGGAAGCTGCTTACACTTGTTTTCATTTTTTGTGCGAATAGAAGAGCCAAACTTGCACCGAGAATGCAAGAGTGTGATATTGAATCTCGGTGTCACCTCCCGCGACATTCTCTGTGCGAAGTGTTGGACAGAATAGGCTTAGATAGGAAAAATTCGTACCAAAAAATGCGGACAGGTGTGGTGGCGACCATTAGTAATTGGAAGCTGCTTACACTTGAATTCATTTTTTGTGCGAATAAAAGAGCCTAACTTGCACTGAGAATGCAAGAGTGTGATATTGAATCTGGGTGTCACCTCCCGCGACATTCTCTGTGCGAAGTGTTGGACAGAATAGACTTAGGTAGGAAAAATGCAATCAAAAAATGCAGACATGTGTAAAATTGGAAGCATCTCACACTTGAATTCATTTTTTGTGCGAATGAAAAAGCCAATCTGGCACCGAAATGCAAGGGTGTGATATCGAATGTGATATCACCTCTCGCGGCCGTCCGGGTCAGTTCGTCAGACTCGGGTGAAATCGTCCTTGAACGAAAATCGAAATGGTCCCAGTGTTGCGCAGGAAGTTAGAAATGGACAGTAGCAAATCCGTAACTGTAAAAGTACATGTGCAAATTTGTTTACCCATCTCTAAATTCCCGCGATATAACCGAACTACAATTTTCGTTCAAAGACGAACTTACCTAAGTCTGTGGGCGTTTATAAATACGGACCTTTAGGCTTAGGCCCGTATGAACCGAATGGGATATCATCTCCCGCGACCGTCCGGGCCAGTTCGTCAGATTCGGGTGAAATCGTCCTTAAACAAAAATCGAAGTTCGATTATAACAGCTCAAGAGTTGCAGATGGTTCTAGTAGTGTTGCACAGGAATTTAGAATTAGACAGTAATAAATCTGTAACATTTGCAGTTTCGGATTTGTTACTGCCCATCTCTAAATTCCCGCGATATAACCGAACTACAATATTTTCATTCAAGGACGAACTCACCTAAGTCTGTGGCCGTTCATAAATACGGGTCTTAGATATGAAAGCGTAGGAATAAATTCGTACCAGAAAATGCAGATACAAATGTGGTGGCGATTATTAGTAATTAGAAGCTGCTCACACATGAATTCATGAGTATGATTATTGTTTATTTGTTCAAAAGATGTTAATGTAAGTGTTATTAAGCAATTTCCAATTACTAATGGTTACCTCTTTATTTTTTGGTGCAATTTATTCCTACACTACCAAATTTTTAAATGTTTTAAATGTTTTGTTTGTTTCAGATTGGCCGTAGAATGGTGTGACACTATAATAATAAATAATTGTAATGAAATAAATAGTATATTTGTAAAGATAATAATAAATAGTTTAATTATGAGTATAATAAAATAGTATAATTGTAATGAATATAATAAATAGTTAATGTATATAATTTGTGTAATATTGTTTTAATAAATATTTTAATTAAATTTACACTATTTGATTTACCCATTCTCAACATTACTTAGCAACATTAATGTGCTGCGTCTGTTACTTAAGACATATTGACCCTACAACCATGGCTCAAATATAGCGGCTGTATCAGGCAAATTAACTTGGTAGTTTGCCATTTTAACACTTCTCATGTAGTCTTCAACAATAACTCGTATTGACTAAATTGATGTTATCAATTGGCTAAAAGTAATATTAAACTTTAGCACTGACTTATTTGACAGAACTGATACTTAAGGTGATGAAAGTCTCTAAGGACGGCCAATTTCGTTCAATTTTTTTGTCCTACCAGCTCACGTGGGGTAACTGTTATTACTGAAGACTCGTGGAGCAAACAAAACTGTTCTAGAATAGACCATGACTGATGAAGACAGATATGAATAGTAAGGTTTCAAAACTAAGTCCGTGTTATTTCTTAGAAATAAGGAAAAGCCTAGAACTTTAAAATTACCGTAGTGTCCGATCTGCTAATACATAGGTACTCAGAAGGCTAGTCTAAGAGAATGTTGACCATATATTTAAATTTTTTGGCAGGTAGAAAAACAAATATAGCAAAAAAATAATAAGATTTGCAACCGTACGATGGATTTAGAGTTTTGATGCAGCAAAATAATGGGAAATGGTAGGTACCTAGTAAGCAGTATACAAACAAGGCCCCCTTCCCTGGAAATTAAAATTCTTACAAGGAACCACCCTTGATACAAGGTGCAGTTAGCGAGCTTTGACGTAGAAGCTGTTGTTCTTTATTTTCACAACTGAAACGATCAGTTTCGTTGAAATATTAGTTACATATTATAAGTAGAACGACAAGAATACAAGTCACCTATTACTTAAATTTTGTCGGAAATGGACTTTGAAGCCGTACTCCTCATATGATTCATGTCGGTGTTAACTACACACACCTCTAAATGAAATCCAAAAGGTCATTTAAAAAAGAATACTTTTTAATATCCGTATAGTGTCTCGCATACACTACATATTATTTCTTTTAGCTCGCCACATACGTTAAAACCTTGTCATTCTTTCGATAAAATTGATGATAACCTGCAATTATGTAGCATTAAGAAGAAAAATATTAAACTCGCTTGCTGCTAATTAACGTTGCTGCTGTCGTGATCGCTACATGTAAAGTTTCGCATTTTAACAGGAATCACTAGTGTGGAATAACATTGTTGATCTCAACTTGTGGAATTGTTTGTTGTCGTTTCCAACGTTAAAATAAAACAATTCTATAGAAGTTAGAATATAGTATATTGCAAAAGTAAAAATGTATAATGTTGACAAAATAATGATATGAATAATAATGACATAAAAACAAAAAAACTCTCGGCAACCTCAGTTACCGGGTAGTTGGGGTGAAGCGAGTTTAATTTATGATACCATAAAAAGAAGGTATATTAGATATTACGCCAATTGATACTACGTCACGGTGACGTATTGTGGTGTGAAAATAAATTTTAATTTGCTCGTGGCTATATTCCACACCACAATACGTTAAACCTCTGATATTTTTAATCTACCTTTCACTAAAGCTGCAACAGAAATGAACGTTATCAATTTTGCCA